CGGCAGGATGGAAACACTTATGGTGAGTAGTAGGACCGGACTGGTTTGAGCGGAAAATCATAACTCCTACCCACAAGGGGCGGGGTTGCAGAGAGATGTCAAAGTGGACCTAGAGCGATCAAAGTTGGTAGGAATACAGGAGGCAGGATAGTAACACTGATGATAGGTTGCAAGACTCGACTCCGCCCCGAAAGGCTAGGCGTGAATAAATACCGTTACTTCGGACCCAGACCGTTGAAACTTGAAGGCACAAGGAGTTGGCTGGGAACATTGATGGTTGCTAACATAATAGACTTAGCCGCGATGAAGTCTCTGGATACTTTTTTCCTCTGAATGATCGCCTTTGTGATACTATACTATGTTCTCTATTCGGTCACAGCGAAGATGGTTTACAGAAAAAATCGCTCCTAATTCGGAGCTAATATTGAGGGTGTAAAGCTTTCAAAGAAAAAGGAGAATCCGAAGTGCTATTTACGCACAGCAAATTGCTCACAGGAGGAGCGCCCGGCGTAGCCGGGCGAACCCATAAGAAGGAGAGAAGCCCGGCGTTAGCCAGGCGGCCCGACTGGTGCTGATTATTCGGAGACTGTCAGTCTCAATTCCGAGACTTACAGCTTCAATTCAATGGAAAGAGTTAAAATTCCTTTTTTACACAACCTACAGCAGACTTTCACCGATTCGTTATCGCTGAACTTCCGTTAACTAGCTCATTTTGATTCGTAAAGCAGCTGAAATACGATCCATGCATCAGGCGAACCCGGCTGAATTAATTGCAGCGGTAAGGGCAAAGTCCTTCAGCAGTGTAGGCATACGGACCGTTAGGAACGAAACGCTTTCACCATTTTGCGCCGCCTTTCCGTTTATCAAGTCACCAGTAAGCTGCGCACGCTCATGCGTGCACCACATGTCCACAATCACTCATCTGCGATCTTACTCGAGAAGAGCAGTAAAACATTTCCATGTCCGTATAAACGACACTGCTTTACCCTAAATCCCCTTTGAGTTTGATTCCTGAAAATCGCGCATTAGAGTTAAGCAGTCAAGAGCAAAACATCCTTTCAAGAGCGTAGCTGTCACTACATTTATGTTGAAAATGTTGTTTTAGTTTGTTTGTAGGAAATTGTGCATCGGGGCGGAGGTGCCGAAAAGCACTGACGTGTACATCGGCTGGCCAGCGTAAGTCATTGTAAAGGCACACATACGTATTCAGTACGTCACTACGATTCTGGATAGAAGTCGAATGCGCGAGAAATTGAGCTACTACGTAAATTTTTTGTAGCACAGATAAAATTAATATCCCCTAAAATTGATCTTAAACCAGCACAATGTAACCTAAAAATTGGATCTACTTCCCCATCCCGCTCACGCGATCTCCACGCTCTTGATCGTGCCTACGTGACTTTTGCGAGGACACACAAACGGGCACACAAACAGACACGCAAAGTTAGCTCTTTATATATATAGAGGATAAGTACGAATAAGAGTTTTGTGAACACTTTCATACTTGAGAAGGGATTGGACAGTCTAGGAAGTCAGACTCCTTGTCGATTTCTTTGATCATGAATTATGTTTCGAAGCAAGCTGACGATGGCGAAATCTCCCAAGTAGCAAGACTAGTAATAGCACAATGCGTCTGATTAGAAGGCAGAGAAAGCTCATCGAATCCGAATTTCGTGCGATCCATTCTTGCAAAATATGGTTTGCTTAACATCCAAAAAATATCGATATTTGAAGGTAGGAGTAAGGGGATGGAAAGGGTGGCACGACGATGCAAATGTCACCGATTATAACCACACAAGATTTGTTTGATGGTTTAGCACCTTCTCATAACGACCCGAATTAACCCGTTCAGGATCCATCGTAAAGCTAATCTGCTTGCGCTACTTGTCAGTGTTAAATCTTCGTGAGAAAAGAATTTACGAACGGATGTCGGAGAACATGCCATTTATGCGCACGAACATTTCTTCACTAACAAAAGAATCCTAATTCGGATACCTAGCGTGACCAAGCGACCAGCTGTCTTTCCCAAATTCAACATGCGCGTTCATTCATATTTGCAGAGCCTGCTGGGAGCGCTGTGTATAAAAAGCCCTACACTGACTCCTGACTCACTTTCAGATGCCTCCCGAATAAAGTGTGATTGAATGGCACGACGAACCGTAGGGGAACCCGAATTAAAGCAATACAGCACACCACACAGTGCTGCCATCTCATTGTCAGCTCATAATAAGATGGAGAAATACTGAACTAAAAAATAACTGCATTATTTGTCTATGCAGTGCTGTGATGGATATCACATTATTTGCCCTTTTGTCCTTATATTATCCGAATTCACCCGTACTGTTTCACTTGATCATTAATTTGTCTGCAATGTATGAACTCGGCCACCAACTTCGTAATTTTGTTTGCCGTCGAGGTATCGATGACGTTCACGTTCTACTAAGTTTTTGGCTACCTTTCATTGCTTCATCCACAAATGTTTAAATTCATCAAGTGCATCGATGGGCTTCTTTGATTTATTCTGAACAAATGCTAACTGACCCTCAATTTAGAGAACTAGGTTATCGGGAAGTGGGCGGTAATCTGAGCAGCGGACGCGAGCGCTAGCGTTTGCACCAGGCAGCAGAATGAATCGACCACCCGGCGCCCAGAGTTATCGATCGATCTACTTTTTACTCCCGATGTTTCGCTTTCTACCTTTAAACCTCACAATCCACATCGCTACTTCTTGTTCAACACATTGCCTTCGATATCTTTTGATTCATCTTTTATCATCTGTATTTACGGTGATCCCTAGACAATATGCATTTCTTGTTCAATAGTATGGCCTAGCTTATTTTCGAACAATAAGAGCCGCTTATTGCTCAGCGGCCATTAGTGTTCAAGACGCTAACATTAGCTCCAGCACACCTAGCACTGTTCCGATCCAACTTGCATATTTCTCGCGACTGGCTAACAAAGAAAAAAGAAGAAGACGTCCCTGGAGACGTCCTCAGAATCTAGTAGCTTATGCGTGAATGCTTTCCTGCTGCACGTGCTCTCATAAGCAAAATCGAATGAATCCGAACTCAAAATTGGAAATGTGATTTGGATGTACAACATCCTACCTGTTCTCCTTTTCCGATGTTCCAGTGAAGCTTCTCCTTCCGCTGTTTGTCCGATTGTGAGTTGACAGCCAAAGAGTTCTTTCTGGCTAGTGTACATGCAGAATATGGATGTCGATTGCGGGTATCTTCCACTGTTGAGCCTTGACCACTGCTGCCAGATGACTGCAATTAAGTACAACTTTAGCAGATTCGCATTATTTACCGTATAATGATGAACAGGTAATGTGATCAAACGCTACCAAATGGGAACGCTGACAGGTAGAGTAGTCGATAATAACGAGTGCACAGCAAAATTTACACCTTTAATGAATATTTCTTGTTGAGAACTTTTGTTGGATTAAAATGATATCATTTGGTACTCTTAATACTCACTCGGGTGATTCAAACGTGTCCAGG